CCCTTGGTGGTTGCTTTCTCTATAGGTCAGTCTGTCACCCATGGAGAAACTGAGGCCCAGTGGGAGCCCCACAGACCCACCTCCACAAGCCCCTCCCCAGGCCTGTTCCTGGGAGGGCCTGCTGAGGCCATGCTCTGAGAGGCCAGGGCTCTGGCCGTGGGCCTGGCCAGACCAGGGTTCAAATCCTGGCTCCATTATACACTCATTGCCTGACATGCTCTGAGCCTTAGTTTCCCCATTGTATAAGGGACAGGTATAAAGACCAGGTGGGTGGGAACTCCCCAGGCACCCACCCAACTGTCCCTGGTCTTTAGAAAGGCCTCATCTACCAGCAAATCTGCAGTCCACCTTCTGCTCCTTTCCGGACACCTGACACAAAAGCCCCAAACAGACCTGCCACTTCCCCATCCCCAGGCTGTTGCCCAGGCTGCTACCTGCCCCTGGATTACCCTTCCCAGGCATGTCCAGGTCTCAAGAGCTGCTACATGTCCTTCGAGGCCAGGCAGAAGTCCTTTCAGGGGACAGCAATTTTCCAAGATAAGATTCATCTTTCCTGCAACATTCAGCCCTACCAGAAACATTTTGTGCTTCCTTGTCTCTTTAGCCACCATGTCTCCCTGGCACACAGTAGGCCCCCAGTCATCCTTCTTTGAATGGGTAAGTCAACAGCTGCTTGTCAAACAGAAGCAACATTAGCTACTGGATGAATTTTCTTTTAAACATCTTACAGCCCATTGAACAAACCAGACGCCTCTGTCTGACCCGTGGGCCACCAGTTTGAGACCCTTGCTCTGAATAGCCCGACTGCACAACGGCCCGTGGATGGTGGCCAAGGGACTGACCCTCTCAAAGCCCCCTGCCTACCATAAGGAAACCTTGCCCCCAGAGCATGCAGGCCTGGCCTGGCACACACTTACCTGCCAAGAAGGCCTGTTTCTCTGTCACGGCCATTGCATATGGAGGCCTGCTGCCCCATCCCACTTCCTGGAGCCTAGAGAGACTTGACATTCAAAACCCAACTCTGCTGTCCCAGGTCAGAGCCCAGGGCCACCTAAGGTTCTGGGCAGTGTCCCTTGAGCTGTAGGGGCAGATGCAGAGAACACCTAAGGTTTCCTTCTCTTTGTTCCAGAGAAAGATCTCCCCGTGGGGCCCCAGAAATTTGTCCCCTGAGGCCAAGGCCTCCCTGCTTGGGAAATTAGCACATCTGTCAGCACTGGCAGAAGGGACTGGCCCACAGCCCAGCAGACCCAAGATGCAGCCAGCCAGTGGGGATCCCAAGATGGGGCCTTGGGGCATCCATGGTCGGTACTCTTACTCCAGAAATGTCTGGGAGCCTACCTTGTGTGGGGGACACAGGGCAGGGAGTGGACAGATCCAGCCTGGCTTCCCCCACTGTCCAGTCTGCTGGGGACAGTAATAAAAGAAACATAACCATGTCAGGGACAGAGACCTTTGAGCAAGAAGTTCAACAGGGAAAAGTAGGGGAGGGGAAAGTGGCAGGGGAGGGAGGGAGCTACTTTGGATAGAGGGGCCAGAGGGACCTTTCTGAAAAACGGGGCCTCAAGGAGAAAGGACATCAGTCATGTGGAGATATGGGGGAGAGACTGCCTGATGGAAGAAACAGCAAGTGCAAAGGCCCAGGGGTGGGACCATGCTGGGAAGGTTCCAGGTTTTGCATATGGAGGCCTGCTGCCCCATCCCACTTCCTGGAGCCTAGAGAGACTTGACATTCAAAACCCAACTCTGCTGTCCCAGGTCAGAGCCCAGGGCCACCTAAGGTTCTGGGCAGTGTCCCTTGAGCTGTAGGGGCAGATGCAGAGAACGCCTAAGGTTTCCTTCTCTTTGTTCCAGAGAAAGATCTCCCCGTGGGGCCCCAGAAATTTGTCCCCTGAGGCCAAGGCCTCCCTGCTTGGGAAATTAGCACATCTGTCAGCACTGGCAGAAGGGACTGGCCCACAGCCCAGCAGACCCAAGATGCAGCCAGCCAGTGGGGATCCCAAGATGGGGCCTTGGGGCATCCATGGTCGGTACTCTTACTCCAGAAATGTCTGGGAGCCTACCTTGTGTGGGGGACACAGGGCAGGGAGTGGACAGATCCAGCCTGGCTTCCCCCACTGTCCAGTCTGCTGGGGACAGTAATAAAAGAAACATAACCATGTCAGGGACAGAGACCTTTGAGCAAGAAGTTCAACAGGGAAAAGTAGGGGAGGGGAAAGTGGCAGGGGAGGGAGCTACTTTGGATAGAGGGGCCAGAGGGACCTTTCTGAAAAACGGGGCCTCAAGGAGAAAGGACATCAGTCATGTGGAGATATGGGGGAGAGACTGCCTGATGGAAGAAACAGCAAGTGCAAAGGCCCAGGGGTGGGACCATGCTGGGAAGGTTCCAGGTACAGGGAAGGCCCGTATGGTTAAGGCAGAGTGAGTGAGGGGGCAGATGGAAACAGAGGAGGGCAGGAACACCATGTGGGACCTCAAGGGGATGGGGAGTGAGAGAGTGGACTGTAGAGCAGAGAGCCATGGAGGGTATGTGAGAGGGGAGGGCTATGGCCTGATTCAGGATTTTCAGATGGTCCAGTGGCTGCTGCAGGGAGAAGTTCCTTCTGGGCAGGAAGCCGGGACAGGAGACCATGGGGACTGTGAGCGTGGAAAGTGGAGTGGAAACTGGACAGGGGCAGGCCTGTGAGCCCAGAAGTGACTCCTTCTGTTAACCTGCCTCAGCTGCTCCCTCCTCAACCTCGGGTGAGCCTGGGCCTGGAGGAGGTTGGGGAGGGCAGCAGACAGGCCTGAGGACTCCTTGGCGGCAGGTGGAGGGTGGGCCTGGATGCCACTCGGCAGGTACCTCTACTCACAGTTCGGATGGCACCTCTGGTTACCGGGTGCCTCCTGTCTGCCTGGCCCACATGCCACCTCATTTACACACAGAACCTGCCGGACCCACGGGCAGCCCAGTGAAGCAGAGATGTTGCCCCCATTTTACACAGGAGGAAGCAGGCTTCTTCCCAGGGCCACACAGCGAGAACCCCAGATCCTCTCTGAAGCCTGGATTTGTACCACCAGAATTGTCCTGCTGCACCCCAAACTCACCAACCCCAACTAGTCTGGGAAGTGAGCCTAGGACACCTTCAGGATCCGAGACACTTATTCCTGGGTCGGTAGTCAGCCTCACAAGCCCCTGAGATGCAGACAGGGAGGCCCTTTGGGGGGCTGAGAGACAAGACCCATCATCCTCTGTCTGTACCCCATGGGGATTCATGGCCCAGGGCCAGGGTGAGCTCTGTGACCCCAAATGAGATGTGAAGCATATGACAAATCCTCTCCAAAAAATGATATCTGTCTCCAGGTGCATATGCACCTCAAATTCTCTGGAAGGCCAGATCCACCACCTGTCTACATTTATTGTGTCAGAGTTGGAGTGACAAGTGATTTTATTCCCATTCTCTTAATTTGCATTTTCCAGATGTCTGCCTAGTTGGAGAATGATTTAACAAATAAATCATTAGTTGGAGAAGGGAAGTGAGATGGAGCTCAATTTACTCAGGTCAAGGGCAGCAAAAGAGCTCAGAGAGGGTCAGCAACCTGTCTGAAGCCACACAGAGAGGGGAGAGAGGAAGCTGGGCCCCTCACTCCTGGCTTTTGTTCTTCTGTGGGGCTGAGGGGCAGAGCCTTGGGCCTATCCTTCCTCTAAGGGGCTGGGGTGTCTCCACCTGGCTTCATTCTTCTCTCCTGCCAAGAGGTGGGGGGGGGTGCTTCAGACCAGATAACCAGCTTCCATCTCTTGCAGGTGAAACCCCAGGGCCCTGCAAGTCCTGAAATCCTATTCCCTGGAGGCCAAGATTCACTCTTGACTGGGGCGGCGGCGGCAGGCCCGGGGACAGGAGGGAGGAGGCTGACTTCTCCCAAAGCTCCTTTGACTTTTGGAATAAAACTCCACACACTTGTCCTTCCAAGTCTGAATGTATTTTGGACCCTGTTTCCTTCACCCCAAGAGTCAGAGTTCTCATTCCTAGACAGTTCAAAGGTTCAGAGGTCCTGACCTTCCCCAGTAAGGATGTTTGGCTAGGCCACACCAGCGGCTTCAGCTATTTCTGACTTGGTGGGCCTACAGATAGAGGGCTGGGGATAGCCAGGGACCCCTGTCAGTGACATTTGCAACCCTGGACCCTGAGAGAGGCAGGGGGCAGCCCATAACCATGAAAGTAACACAGCCACCAACTTGTCATATGCTAACAACCACAGAGGGCTGTGACTATTGTTCCTACACCACATCCCAGTTGGGGAAACTGAGGCACAGGGAAGGGGGTGGCCCAGGCAGCTGTGGCTCCCCCCATCCAGGGCTCCACACTTACCACCCTGCACCCAGCCCCTCGGGCCCATTTGAGGCCCCACATTCCCTGTATGAGGTGCAGACCCTACGGGCCAGGTGAGGGTCACAGGCGCACATGGATGGTCATGCTGCCACACACAGGCCTGGGGCAGTGACACACCAGGGCACACCCACAGAAGGAAGGCACAGGGTTGTGCACAGGAAGGCTCGGAGGACATGGAAAGGAGTGTGCCCACGAAGGGGGGACACTGAGGCACACAGATCAAACACACAAGTTACAGACACACAAAGGGGTCAGTGGCATCACACTTCGGGCACAGAAGTCCCATACTGACATCAAAGACCTGGGACATATGCCCCTTGGACACACGGCTGCTCAGACACACACTCCTTCAGACATAACTCCTGGACACACGACGCCTTGGATACGCACCCCTGCACACACACAACACCCAGACACAACTGCTCGGACACACAACCTCTCAGAAACACACATCTAAGACTCACACCCCTTGGGCACACACGACCTCTCAGACTCACAGTCCCAAGACGCACAGCTCTTTGTCACAGAACTCTCCGACGCACAACCGCACACTTGGATCTCCAAACCCAATCCAGCCCACAGATGCCGTTCAAAGGACACCCCGCGGAAGCCTTGGCCCGACGCGACACGCACCTGCTCTGCCTGGGCCTTAGGACGCTCGCGCGCGGACCAGCGCCCGCAGGTGCCTTCAGAGCGGCAGCCACGCCCCCTGGAGCTGATTGGGCGGGGCCGGACTCGTTTGCATAGAGGGCGTGCCGGCCCGCAGGCTGCGGTGGGCGGGCACCTGGGCGCGGTCCCGCCCCCGGAGTCCAGGGGCCGGGAATTCAGACCCGGGAAGACGCTGAGATGTGGGGCGCGTAATGAGGAAAGGATCCTGGAGAGGGGCCTGGATCAGACCCACCAGGCTTTCCCCGCCCTCACAGGGCGCCCCTGACCTTCCTCTGTGACTCTGTCTGTAACTCGACGACCACTAGCCCCTAAACCCTGGACTTACTCCAAACTGAGCAAACTGAACTCCGACCCGAACCCGATGGCCCCAGGGACTGAACCCTTCTCGAAGCCAACACTGACCCTAGCTCTCACACAAACCGAGGGATTGCAGAAAGGGGCTCCGGGGTCGCCTGTGTGGCCGCACCCTCCTGTGGCAGGATGCACGCCCTAACAGCAGGGTAACCGACCCCTCAGCTGGGCGCCCCCCTCCACTTCAAAGGTCAGCGGGAAGGGCGAGCTGGCAGGACTGGACCCCAGCGCAGACCTCTAAATCCGTTCCTGGGGGATCCCAGCACCACCCAGCACAGGGCCAGGGCCAGGCCCAGGCCCAGGCTCAGGCCCAGAGGGAGAGCGGAGCAGGACTGGTAAATCAATGTGAAAAGAATTGCAGGATGAAGAGTACTCTGGACTGAGTAATCCTGGGGAAGACCCCAGGCTGGAGGAGGTGGATCTACCACACACTCGCCCTGCCCTGTGGGGTCAGGACTGGGCCAGAGGGGTCAGGGAGGGCTGTCAGGAGAAAACGGTATTTGTACTGGGCCTTGAAACATGAGTAGGAGTTTGCCACTGGGAGAGGGATTTTCCATTAGAGAACAGCACTTGCAAAGGTGCAGGGGAAGAGTGAGGAGTATTCTTTGGTGGGAGGGGATGAGGGAGATGACGCCAGAGCCCTGGGCAAAAGCAGACTGGACTGGGTACCCAGGCAGAGGTTCAGAGATGGAGGGGTGGGGGTCGACTTGGGGCAGTTGAAAGGAGAGAGTCAGCATGTTGCAATGGCTGTCTGGTGTCCACCTCTTTTTGGAAGACAACAGATTGCTGGAGCCTTGAACTCAGTAGGGAGCATGTGGAAATGTCATTTTGTTGGACACTGAGGCCGGGAACAGGGGTCCTGTGAGACTCGTGTTTCTTCCCACATCTCAGTTTACCCATATGTGACATAGGAAGTTTGATCCCTAGCGTGGGCACAACTTTCTCTTTGGACATAAAAGTAGGGTTCACACTGTCATGAGAAGGTGGGGAACAAGGGTCCCGCCTCACCCCCGACTCCACCTCCCTCAGTGCCCAACACCAAACACTCAGATGTCCTGAGGACACACTAGAGCCCAGGCCAGGCTGGGGGCTTCTGCCGTGGTTCCGAGGCACAGAACAAGGCTTGGGGAGCGTGAAGGTGGCTGGGGAGCCCCGGGCCCCCCGAGAGCTGCTCTGTTTACCCGTGGCCGCCTGCCTGCCTCTGATGCAACAGGCAGGCTCTGGTTACATGAGGGTGGCAGCTGGAGCAGCTCTGGGAGCAGCCAGGGTGTGGCGGGAAGGGTCTCCTGAGCTGAGCTGGCTGGGGCTGCCCCCCATGCGCCCACCCACCTCCCACGTTCCTGCCCCCTTATGTCGCCTCTCCCCCCTGTCATGCTCCATGACACCTCCCCATTCTAACCAATTCCATCTTCTTCAATTCATGCCCTGCTTCCTGTAATGGCCCCTCCTTTTTGTCTTTGCCCCTGTTCCTGTACTATACCCTCCCTCATCCCTGGGGGGGGGTCACCCCACGTGAACCTGTGTCCACCATCAGGGCAGTCAAGAGTGTTAGTTGCTGGAATAATAAGTTGGGGTGTGGAAGGGAGGGCTGGTGGCAAAAGGGAGGGAAAAGGTCCAGATGGGGGTATCTGGGGAGGGGCCTGGAAGATGGCAGGGGGCAGGTGGAAACAAGGCTGGGAAGGCGGGGAGGTGGAGAAGCTGCTCCTCCCAAGTGCCTGTCCTCCAGATCCTCTTCCCCAGTGTCAGCGGAGAGAGGCCTCGGAAGACCCCCCATGGTAGGTAGTGTGTGGTCCAGCAGGTGGGGGGCAGGGCTAGTGACCATGGAGCCCCATCCCAACTCCCACTCACTGTGTGACCTCAGGCCACTCACTTCACCCCTCTGAGCCTATTTGCTCATCTGAAAAGTGGGCCCCTGAGTATCAGCCCCTTCCCCCAGCTGGGGGTGCTCCTCAGGGCCAGGCCCAGCATGTGGCAGCACCAAAGGGGTGCCTCCATGGGTTTCTTGAAGAACTGGAGGGCCCTGGAGAGGGTGTGAGCGGTGGGGGGGGGTATGGGGACCATGTTTGGCGCATCCAGACACCTTGGTTGGGGACGGTGCAGGGCTACCCAGGAGCAGGGAGTGTAGAGCAGGGCTGAAATAAAAACCAGGACTTGGACCAGGGGCTAAGGACAAAAAGTAGAATTGAAGTCTGACTGCTATCCTGACCACTGCAGACCAAGGAGAGGCACGATTGCTGCCCTCTTGGACCTCCTTTTATCCCATCCGCAGATTTGAAGGAACCTGGAGGGGCACAGCTCACCCAGCGCTGGTCTCCCTTCCAGGTCATCCCCACCCTCATGGGTGCTGGCTTCAATTTGAATGCCCCAATGGCACAGGGAACTCACTGCCTATCTCCCAGCTACTTCCCTATCTCTGGGACTGGGCTGGGAGCAAGTCCTTCTGAGCCGGGTCTGAGAATGCTCACACCCTCTGGCCTGACAAGGAGTGGATGACTCCAGCTCATGTCCGGGAAGCACATGGGAGCATATGCGAGGTCTTTCTGGGTAATCTGTCCTCCTGGAATCTTAGTTCGCTATCTGAAAAATAGGAGCGAGGGTGTGTATAGGGTGAAAATGGACAAAAGATCACAATGCGCCCACCGGGAGCAGCCAGGACTGCGAACGATGACCGCTTGGAGGCCGAGGGCAGACCAAGTCTTGGTCTCTTGCGCCCCCTCGCGGCCAGCCGCGGCGGGGCGTTCTGCAGGCGGGAAGGGCGAGCCGGATGAGACGAGATGCAAATTAACCAGCGTTCCCGTGAGCCCTCGAACTCGGGGTCGCGAGATCTGATAGCCCAGAGTCCTGATCATACCTCTCTGAAAGGAGAGGACTACTAGTCACTGGCTGAGGTCGCTCCCAGGGCCTGTGGGTGATGGGGAGCCCTGGGAGGGCCTGGGGTACCCCACGGCTGCTCGCCACTAGCTCGCAGCACTGGAGCCGCCCAAGGCAAGCCCCTGGACTGTATGTGATTACTTCACTTAGCCGTCCGTCTGTCCCACCGGTCTAAACCCCGGGGCCAGGGCTGGGCGGTCGTGCTCACAGGCAGGTCCTGGCCCATAGGGGGCAGTCGATGTTTGCGGATAAATGGCTGCATGGTGGACTGGTGGAAAGACAGAGTGACGAGAAGTGCCTTGAGAGTGCGCAAGAGAGGGAGGGTGACTCTGTGGGAGCCGCACACCAGTCAGGGCCTCTAATGGGCTTACCTGAGGCTTCTCCCTCCCCCTAAACTGAGCTGGGGCAGTGGGAAGGCAGGATGGTGGCCCAGGACCCCCTAATTCGCCCTAGAAGGGGAGAGAGAGGGCTGGTCCCCATTCCCTGGAGGTGGCAGACAGTCCTCTAACAGCTGTCTCTTGACTCCTCCCAGACCCTCAGGCCCCTCCACAGCCCTGATACCCCAGCACACCCTCTCTCCCCACTAGGGTGCCCTTGGCCCTTGCCAGCAGCCCACAGCACCAAGGGAGGTGTGGGGGATCCTCCCAGAGCAGTGAGCCTGGGACCTTCCCTCACTATGCCCCCAAACATCTCCATTCTGATCTTTCTGATACATTTTGCATTGACACACAGCTGGCCCTGGAGGTGTACGAACTGTAGGCTTCCATTGCTTGCAATTCATAGGGGTCAGTGTGCGCTTCTTTGCAGTCAGCCAAAATGAACTAAAAGCCGTTTTAGCAAATGACCGTAGTTTAGGGACTCATGAAACCAAAGAATCGAGATTTTCTAGTGTCAGGTACAGCTGGATCCAGGGCCCCAGACAATGTTCTCAGGTCTCTCTTTCTACCTATCCAGCTCAACAACCCTGGTGGGAAGACAAGTACCTTTTCCACGCTTCCAGCAAAATCCCTGGGTAAGACCGCTCTTTGGGTCACATGGTTACCTCGAACCAATCGCTGTGACCTGGGAGATGAGGTCTCTGATTGGCCAGGCCAGGATCCCACTTCTACCCCTCGTACTGAAGGTGGCTCCTCAAATGGCCTGAGCCTGAGCCTGAAGTGGGCATTTCTGCTTAAAAGCAGAATGCAGGCTACACAGGCATGTACATGGATATATCCCCCTCAGCCTGTAGAGAGGGTCCACTCCAGCCTTTCTTATCCAGATGGAGAAAGGGAGAGGCCCAGAGAGGGTCAGCTCCAGGCCCCATGTCACAGAGCACGTCAGAGGCAGGGCTGGGACCAAACCAGGGTCTGCTGTGTGACCTTGCACAAGTCATACCACCTTTCGAACTTTTCCCCATTTGTATTTGGGGATGACACCTGCTTTACAGGCTAAGGATAAAAGATGACCCTTGCAAAGCCCCCAGCAGTGCTAGGCACACGGTGGGTGATTAATCAGGATTAACATGGTAGCAGTCTTTGGTCTAAGGAGCTGTGACTGTAACTGTGTCCTTGGCCTGTGGGGGTGATCAGTAGTCCAGGGACCTCAAAGCCTTGTCTTGGGACATTCATGGCAGGGCCCAGATGCTCTGGGTAGAGGCAGAATGAACCCACGGGCCACACTTGCTCAATCTTCAGTCCCTGCAAGGTGCCACAGGTTGTATCCAAGGGCAGCTTCGGTTGGGCTGCGGGGGCAAGAGGTAAGGATTAGGACGAGGCCTGAGAGGCCTCCAGGGTTGTGGGGTGGCCCCGATCAGTCAGCGCCTGAGGCAGGAGCCCAGGGGGGCCTGAGGAAAGAGGTGAAATGGAGTTGGAGGGTGAGGGTATGACTCCTGAACTCATGGTCAAGGACAGTGACCCCATCTCCAGTCTCTGTGCCTGGTTCCTTTTCTGTAAAATGGGGCTGTGTAGGGCCCCGGACTGGAGAGGCAGGTGAGGTCACAGGCTGGGGAAGGCTGTGACTTGGTCCTGTGAAACCCCAGGGACAGCAGCTCTGGGGAAGTGTGGGGTGGAAGGCTCTGAGGACAGGGGTGGTAGCTAACTGTGGGGAGGAACAGAGAGGGCTCAGGAGGAGCCGTGGAGAGTTTTGTTCTGAGGGGACGCAGCAGTGGAGGGACAGCAGCTGATGTGGGCTGTGGGAGGGTGGCAGGGCAGGGTCCTTACGGTGTGAGGGTATGAAGGGCCAGGGTGCGGTGAGGGGATGGGGTAGGTGGGGGAGCCCCCTCGGTGGACCTTTTGCTCCAGGCCCTCCCAGTGTCCCCCAGGCCATCCTGTGGCCTGTGCCATTCCTCACCACCCAGGCCAAGAGCCAAGCCTGGCATACAGCAGGTGCTCAGCAAGTGCTGACCGCATGTTTACAAATTCCACTGCCTCTTGGCTCTCGGTGCTGTTATTTTAGGGGCTGTGGGGACCCCATCAGCACTCCAGCCTCCCCAGCCCTGAGACAGCCTCCAATGCACAGAGCACCAGCACAGCACAGCACCTGGCACACGGGCACGGGGCTCCCTGAGCTTGGCAAGTCCCTAGGCATCCTGGATCTGCCAGGGCCTGCCCTGCGTGGGCACAGACTAGAAGTCCATCAGGCCTTTCCTGGCACCATGCTCTCCTCACATAGTCACACATCCCTCCCAGCAGGCCTCTCCTATCTGGTCCTGGGCCTGGCCACAAGACTGGCCTTCATCAGTGGGGCATTCATAAATGTGAGGCAAGCAAAGGCCGATGAGCACATGTACACTGGGACCACCCTCTTGGTGCCAGGCACCAGGAGCCCGGGATGACCTATTGGCAAGAACCAGACCCGCCATCACTGACACCGCCCATCAAGGACCAGATGTGTAAGTGAGGCTACCTCTGGCTATCTGGCCCCATAGAGCTTCGACAAATGCCACATGAATGGCCCCTAGCTGACCCCATCCAAATCGCAGAGAAATGAGCAGAGAAATGACTGGTGGCATAAGCCTTGAAGTTTGGGACACTTTGTCACGTAGCAGTAGCTGACAGCTACAACACACATCACTGTATGCAACAGCGCCCTCTGCCACCTGATGACCCACTCTGACAGAAGGGAAAAGCAGAGACCAGAGCAGGAGGGACTTGCTCAGGGTCATACAGCTGGTCAGCGGTGCAGCATGGAGTCCAGAGCTGGTGGGCATCCGCCGTGCGGGGCTCTGCCTAAGAAAATGTGTGTGGATAAAGCAAGTACTAACACGAGGCAGGATAGGGCAAAGGTGGGCTCCCCTCTGTCTTGTGGGGGATGTCCTTGAGATTGGAACAGGGCCTGAGGCCTGGATGAGGGGCAGGAAGATGGCAGAGAGAACATGAGGGAGATGGCCTGAGCAGCAGGGGTACAGGCCTCCCCACCCTGAAGCCACCCAGTGATGAAACTATCCTGCAAACCCTGGGAGGCAGCCTGAGTGGTTAGACAAGCAGGCCCTTCTTGGGAACAGAGGGTGGGCTAGCTCCGAGCATGGAGCACAGGAAGGCTCAAGGCCCTGCTCGGCACTGACCTGGCTCGGAGGAACCAAAGCACCTGCAGGTCTCTTCCGGGATCAGGCAGAGGAGGGTGGGGGTGGCTCTTCGGGGCTAGAACAAAACACGTGCAGCATCCATGAGGCTGAGGCCACAGGCCTACTCACTTGGCTAAGCTGGAGTGCAGGTTCAGGTTGCCCCCTGGCTCCCTCAGATCCGTGGCCTCAGCCTTCAGGGCATCCTCTGTAAAACTGGGGCCAGCCACCCTCCTCAGAGGTCATGGCTGGGACTTGTGCAGAACTGGGTGTTTCAGACCCACAGGGCTTGCAAAGAGGCACAGCACCTCAAGCTGCTAGTAGTGTCTTTCAGAAGCACATTGTGTTTTTGCAACAGCAGACACAAGCAGAGCGTTTGAAAGCAGGGGAAACCATGAGTTGAAACTAGAAGCTATGGTTATATGAGGCCTACTGTGTTCAGGGTGCTGTGCAAGACACTTCATGCAGGGACCTCTAGTCCCATTGGCTGTCACCGACCTGCAGCAGAACAGCCAAAGCCAGACAGTTTAACTCAAATGAATCCAGATAAACCTTTGTTGTGCTACTTCAGAGCAAAGACTGCCATAGATTCATTCTTACATATTTGCAGGGCTTTTTCATTTTTGACAGTTCTCATTTCTTAATTCTCAGAAACAGCACACAGATTTTTTTTTTCCCTTTCTATATCCCTGGTGGGGAACAGGCATGCCCCAAACAGAGAGAGCCGAACACATGTCAAGGTAGAATTACAACTTACAGCGTGTGTGTGTTCAAATGTGTGTTTATTAACTTACAATAGAAACAAAAACAAAAACAGCTACTTCTCCAAAAACCTCTCCCCAGTGTGCAAGGGCTGTAAGCGCTTTCCATTTTTAGGCTGTCTGGTGCTCGGTTCAAAGCCTCCTGCAACTCTGGGTGCCCTCCCTGCTGTCTGACAGGCCCCTGCCCACCTTGCTGACAGCCCTCGCTTACCTGCTCCAATCACACCTGCCTCCAAAACCCCAGGGCCCTCACCCTCACGACTGGCCCACCCAGAACACCCTCCCTGGGTCTCCTCCGCCTGACTGTCATCCAGGCCGCTGCTCACACCTCTACCACCTGCTCAGAGAGGCCCCCCATCCCTCTTCTTGCTTTGCACATATCTGAAATGCTCTCTGCTCCATGTTTACCTGGTCACTGTGTGTCCCCTGTGACACCATGAGCACACCTGTGTCGATCACCACTGTGAACTCAGCACCCGGCCCAGAGCCAAGCACACGGAACAGCTAAGGGCCCGGGTGCCAAGGGAATGAGCTCTCCCGCTACAGATGCCAAAGGAAGAAAGGAAGCCAGGGGCCGCCGCGGGATGAGGAGAGGGAGTTGTGTAACAGAGAGAAGCAGCAGTTCCTGGCTGGGCGGCGGAGGTCCTTACAGCGAGGAGGCTGCGGGCAGCAGGGGCGGGCGGTCCCGGGAACTACCTGTGGCCCTGGGCTGCAGCGTGCATGTGGTCCCGGATGCTGATGGCCTGTTTGAGGAGACCCTCCACGCTGCGGAAGTAGACGCTGCTGTCGACGAGGTTCTTCACGGCGCTGAAACGGGAGGAGGGTCCCCGTCGGCGCCGCCCTGCCCTGCCAACCGGCTGCATCTCCCCGACCAGAGCTCAGGGCGGGCCGGCACTCCTCGGCCCTCCCGCGGGCCTCCCTGAGAGCTTAGTGTTCAGACTTCCACGCCAGGCCTCGATGTCATCCACGTGACAAAGCGCGGGATGGCTGCAACCTTCCCATCCCCCTTCCAAGTATCTCGCTTTTCCCCTATATCACCTATTCCTGCCTTCAAAGGAAGTATCAGCTGGAGGCGAGCAGCCCAGGAGGCGAGCTCTGGCGGAACCAGAACCCCTCCGCGCTGACGTGAGGGCACCGCCGCGCCTAGCTCTGCTGGGGGTGCCGCGGCGATGAATGACTAATGAACACGTTCCTTCCAAGGGCACTACAGGGAAATATTCACCAAGCTGCTTTTTTTGGTCCCTGCTAAGGCCAGAAAGTCGCCTACACAATGACAAACAGAAGTAAAACAAAAATATCATTTTAAAGTCCTTCTATTGAAGACAAACAAGTCCCTCCCGTTCATTATCAGCCAGAGACCTGCTTGCAAAGGGCGAGATCAAAGTGCGGGGTGGGGGTACAGGGGCGGTAGGCCCTCACTGGCTCCGCTGACGCGCTCATCCCAACGCGACCGGGCGCAGTTGGCCTTCTGAGCGCCTGCCCACCTTGAAAACAAGCTCCCTGTTGAATAGTTTACCCCGTTTTACTACCTTTCCATTTTACACCATTAAGACTACCTATCTAAATAAAGCATTTTGAACAATTCAAAGATAAGTGTTCTTTCACGTCTATAAAGGAAACGTGATCCTTTGCATTAGAAAAAAAATCACATCTCCCTAAAAAGAGGTGCTCAGAGCTCAGACCACACTGGCCCTCTGTCTCGTGAGCATGGTCCGGGGGATCCTTCTGGGACATGATGGACATGTTCTTTATCCACTGAGAAGGTTAGTAAGCACTTGAAATGTGGCTAGTGAGATGGAGAAGCTGAATGTTTTATTGCATTTTAATGCTTTAAAATATATTTTAATGCTTTAAATATAAGTGTAAACAACCACCTGCAGCGTGGGGCCCTGCCCTGGGATGGTGACGCTAGAGGAGCCAGGAGAACGTACAGACTTTGACACGTTCTTCCTTTACCGTGGCCTTGCTGAGGAGCTCATGGCTGCCTAGGAGCTGCTCGGCAGCCAAAGGAAAAACCCCTTTTCTACTTTTTTTGAGCTAAGGAGGTGTCTGCAACCACCATCCTCAGGAAGATGCCATCTGTCCAGGTGGCCCCTTGTCCCAGTGGAGGGACCAAGGCCGCCGATGGCAGGACACTCAGCTCGATGCCACCAGCAGCCGGACTCTCTGTCAAGGAGCCTTCATCCATGCAACAGCAACAGGCAAGCTGTGCCCGTCCAAATTCCACCAAAATAACTCACAGCCCTTGTCAGGGGCCAATGGTACCTTTAAATAGTCACCAAACTTATGAGGCAAACGGAACAAGCCAGGGAGTGAAATACAGGCTAGAAACATAGAAATGGCAGAGGCCAAGCTGCCAAAGAAACACCAACCACTGCTCTTCACGCAGGCACATCTTTCCTTGGGGGAAAAACAAATCTGGAGATTTAGACAAAGTTAAAAAAAAAAAACCAGTAAATGGTATACCCATGTTCATAGCAGCATTCGTTACAGTAGCTAAAACATGAAGCAACCCAAGTATCCATCAACAGCTGATGGGGAAATAAAATGTGGCCCATCCTTGCAAGGGAATACTATTCAGCCTTAAGAAGGAAGGACATTCTGACACCTGCTGCTGCACCCGTGAACCTTGAGGACATCATGCTGAGTGAAATCAGACAGACGACACAAAAGGGCAAACACTGTATGGTTCCACTTACAGGAGGCCCCTAGAGGAGTCAGATACAGAGAAAGTAGGTGGGGGGGACCCAGGGCTGCACACAGCAATGGGGAGTCATTGTTTAAGAGAGAGACTTTCACTTTTACAAGATGAGTGAGTTTTGGAGATGGATGGTGGGGATGACTGCACAGCATTATAAATGTGTTTGGTATCACTGAACTGTACACTTAAAAATGGTCAAGATGATACATTTTATGTTCTGTGTATCTTACCACAATAAAATAAAATGGAAAGAAATAAAAATTTGAAAATAAATAGCCCTTTTGTGCTTCGGCCTTTGTGCCAGCTGCCATCCACCCTGCCAGCCAGTCTGTGGTCCTGGCTTGGGGGTGGGGGGCACACTGGCCTCTCAAGGCACAGGCCCATGTCCCCAAATCCTTATGGCCCCCTTCTGTGACTGAAGGGGAGGAGCTCAGCAATGGAAAGAAGCCTGCCCAAGGAACACAGGGCCCAGGCAAACGGTAGAAGCGCAGGCCTGGGCTGGAGCCCATCTTGTGGCCAGGTGAGTCGAGACCCACATGCCTCCACTCAGATATGTTTGGCAGGGCAGAGCTCACAGGGCGGCTGAGATGCTCCTGAACACAGGTGGCACCCTGGGGCAGAGGTGCAGTCCTGGGAGTGGAGAGGTCACGTGCTCACCTGCAGGCGTATTCCACCGTGTAAATGGCTCCTTGGCTCTGCTCCTCCCACCGCTGCATATCGGCCTGTGGAGGTGGGGATGCTGTCAGCAGTGGGGGTTGCCTCCTCCGTCCTCCCAGCTCTCTGGGATGGAGCACCTGATCTCCGATCACCATGACGGCAGACACCAGTGTCCTCCAGCCCCTGCAACTCCCCTGCCTCACCAGTCCAGGCTTTCTGTGAACACACAGCTACCATGCCTTGCAGCCTTTGCCCAGGCTGGCATCTCTGCCTGGCACACCCTTCCCTCAGGTCCTCACATGCTGCCTCCTTCTCATCATGCAGGTCATGACTCACGCAGACCTTGCTTGTTCCCTTCTTCCAAATCTTCCCTAGATCTGTTCACCCACAGCCCCAACCTGGCTCCATGACCACATGCCTCCTCGCTGGTGCCCCAGCCTGGACTCCCGCTCCTACAGCCTCTGCTCCACATGGCAGGCCCCAGCTCACAAGGTGTGGACCGTGGGCAGGTCGGGTGACGGGGGCGGCTGGGGCTCACCTTATGCTGGGCCAGCTCGGGCAGAGAGCCCACACAGCAGGCCCCAGCTCACACGGTGTGCACCCTGGGCAGGTCGGGTGATGGGGGCGGCTGGGGCTCACCTTATGCTGGGCCAGCTCGGGCAGAGAGCGGCGCACATGCTCCTGCAGCCGGTACAGGGCCACAGAAGGCTCGTTGGCCAGGACATAGACGCTCTCAGTGAACTTGTCTGTGACTGGGTCCAGGATCAACAGTCCGGAGTAGGCGTGAGGGACGGCAGAACAAGGGAGAGTAAGAGGGGGTGTGGACGCAGAGAGCCAAAGCTTCAGACCCCTGACCGCTCATGAGCTCTGCCAGAGCAGCAAGGAGTGCCCCCTGCCCCCCAGCAGCTGGGTCCCCTGTGGCCTGGGTGATGGGTGGAAGGTCACAGAATGTGTCCGGTGGCCTCCTGATCTCTCCCCTCCCAAGCCCACTTGCAGCAGACATTGCTGCTGCCTGCTCAGATCCCCTCACATTCCTTTACCCCCATGCAGGAATCTAAGATTCTTCCTCTTTGGATTCCCACCAGTTACTGGACCCAAAACTGCCTGGGAGTTTATGTGCCCAGACGACCCTTGGCTGAGACTGACCATCCAAGGGTTTGAAAGCCCAAGTCCCATATCATGTGTTGGGACAACTCGGAGGCCTAACTAATCCCCCTGAACCCCCCTTCCTCTGCCTCTGCAGGATTTCACCAAAGGTCACTCCTTGCTCAGCCTCCTCCCCAGCCCTGTCTTGTTACTCCCACCCCTGGGAGGTTCTCCTGGCAAGTCAGTTACACACACATCCTCATCCCAGGGGCATTCCCAGCCAGCAGGTCCCATCTATGCACTCCCATCTACGAGCAGGTCCTACTGGCTCTGGGGCAAAACAAAGCCCAAACCTCACCCATTTTTACTACTACACTGACCAAACATGGCCACCTTCCACCTAGATGCCAGATTCAGCTTCTCCTTGGTCTCCCTGCTTTCCCTCATACCAACAGTCCAATCTCCATACAACAGATACCATGAGCTCCAAATGAATGTATCAGGTATGTCCCTCCCTTACTTGAAAACCTTCCACAGTTCCCATCAGCCAGAGAATAGACTCTGTCTCCCTTAACATGGCCCATAAAGCCCCCGTGTGTTCTTCCTGCTGTGGACCTCCCTGCCCTCCTCGCCCTCTGCCCCAGGCACAATGGCCTCCTGGCTATTCTTTGAACACTCCCAGTACTGTCCAAGAGAACTTTCTGAGATGATGAAAGGTTTGTAATCTGTACTGTCCCACATTGCAGCCACTAGCCACATGTGGCTACTGGGCACTTGAAATGTAGCTAATGTGACTCAGAAACTGAATTTTTAATTTCACCTAATTTTAACTGAAATACCTGTAATACTGTGAACAGTAGCTACTAGGCTGCGGCACAGCTCTGAACACTTTGCTGTCTCAGAGCCTTTGCAGCTGTTGTTCCCGCCATGGACATGCCCTTCCCCACTGAGTCATTTCTCCATCTCTCAGCTCCACCGCCTGGGCAAGTCCTTCCCTGCTCACCAAGCCTAATCAGATATCCCTTCCACCTCATTCTTGACATCAGCACCTTGTTCATTTCTCTTACATTTAAGTTCTCATTCTTTATTAGGTTACATGTTTACAGGAAAAAAATGTCCTCATCTGTAAGTAGAATGATAACAGTACTCACCTCGAGGTCTGCTACCGAGATGGACCCAATGCTATTGCCCAGTGCAGTGTGGTTGGCAAAAGGGGGGACCCTGGTGTGTCTGGGAGTCAAGGGAGGCTGTGCACTAGTCTGCCCAGTGTTGGTATGTCACAGCCACGCCCTCAGTGGGGCAGCACGCAACCCAACACCTCCAAATTGTATGTCTTCTTACTCTCTTAAGCCTCCTCGTTTTGAAAATGAGCATAGTAATAGCTTACACCTCAGTGTTGTTACCAAGGAGGTGGAACTAAGAGTACTTGTGCCTTTTAAATACTAACTAGAAATAACTGTGTTCATAAAACTTTATGGTTTAAAAACTGGCATTTTGCGATTTGTAACTATGTGAGTTACAATTACTTGCTGCCAATGTAAACGTACCCCAAAGGGTAAACATAAACAAGGCCACAATACGCATGATTGCCACGCCCCAGGCGTTCTTCCAGTACCAGGTCCTTGAAATCCACAGCAATCCTATGGGGGGAATGACTCCCCATTTCACAGACGACAAAACAGAGGCATGGAGACTTTTTAGGTTTCAAAGCTAGTCAGTGGCCAAGTGAGGATTCTATGGCAGTTCGATCACTGCCCCCACATGCTCCCTCCGCACCCTGCCCCCTCCCGCCCTCTGCCGGGTCGCCCCTCCGCGAGCTCCCGTTCCCTCAATCACCCCGGGGTCCCGCACCACCTTTCTTCCCCTTGAGCTGCATCTCCGGTTCCTCCATAGCGACCTCAGCCCAATTCCGCGGACCGGAACCGGAAGTCCGCAGGTAGGGGCCCTCCACCTAAACCTTCCCCTGAGAAACTGGACGCCGAACTGCTCCAGTTCTGGTATCATTGGCCTACCCTCCCCAATCCTCCGTCCACTCTGACGAGAGGGGCCGTGAGAGACTGGCCATGAGCGAGAGTGAGGAAGGAAGCACACCGGGAGGCGGGTGAGGAGGGACGGATAGCCCCTGAAGCTCAAAGAGGGACACCTAGGCGGGGGAGGGACAGGGGCGCATCGCTTCTAGAGCCCCATTTTCCAGGGGCAGGCGAAATGGGGGAATGCTCTACACACTGCCCACTTCGGGCTATATAAACGGCCTCTTTGTACCCTCGTGCTGCCATCAAATCCCTGCCCTTGTCCCTAAACGCCTAAAGCAACAGAAGAGGCATTGTTATGGACGGGGGCGGTAATGGTGGCGCCCCTTTAAATTTAGGAAGTCCCGTCAGCGCCCCCCCCAACCCCACCCCGCCCTGTGATTGGAGGAAGCCCCTCCCACCCCACCCGCGGAATTTGGCCTATTGGCTCCCTCTGGAAAGGCCTGTGGGTGGAGCTGGGAGTGAGGGAAGAGGGTCAACTTGAAATCCTCAGAGATCTCTGAAGCTCCGCCCATCGCTCCGGAACCTGCGGGGTTTCCTCCCCAGCTGCGGGGACACAAACACGCAAGCGTAACTGCTGTGCTTGGGCCTCAGCGGAAACCACGCCCCTCCCCCAAACCTTAAAGGGCCAGGAGCACCTCCTTCAGCTCTGGCCTTTCTGCACTTTTGTGGGGCGGAGGTGCGCAGGCGCAGTTGGGGACCTCTTGGGTAGGGGTACCGGTAGCGTTATCAAGTTGCTGTCTGTCCGGGCGGAAGCAGCCAGAGTGCTGACAGTCCTGGCTCCAGCTTGCTCTCCCATATATCAATTGTAGGAGAAAAGTTTGTGAATTGGGCCCCCAAGTTTTGGGGGACCCGGGCTTCCGGCGTAGGGTGACAGAGGAGGCTCTTTGGAGGTGAGTGGACCTCCTGGGCCGGTTTGGGGAGGGTGGGTGGGATGGGGCCAGTCACATCTTTGTTGAGCTCTCTCTAATTCAGAAGACCACTTTCAAAAAGTAACCACAGCGAACGTTTATTAAGCTCTGTCCGTGTATCAGGCTCCCTGCTCAGCTATTTACAAACATGATTTCTTTATAGACTTCATTTCCCCATTTTATTAATAAGGATACTGAGGCTCAGAGAAGTTAAGTCATGTGCTCCAGTTTTTCAAACCAGGTAATCTGACCTCAGAGCCCAGGCCTTTTAAAAAGCAGTGCATGTTATATGTGCCCTGGGGGTGGGCAGAAAGCAGTTGGTTTCTGGTTTTAATGAACCGACCGAGCCCGAGTTTTCCCACCCTCACTGTGCAAAGCCAGGTATGCAGTCGGTGCCTACTTAATAAGAATTATTGATCGTTATTGTCATTTCTGCCCTTTTGACGCATCCACCAGCCCCATGGAGCCCATCCAGCCTGCAGAGGACCTCAGCCTGGCCCAGCAAATGTTCACCCCAGAATTTGGGGACCCTGAAGAGCCCGGGGATGAGGCCACCGATGGCTCAGACACCGTGGTGCTCAGTATCTTCCCCTGCACCCTAGAGCCTGAGACTCCTGAACCAAATGCTGGCTCCTCCTCACCTCAGGGTAGGATTTTTCCCCGGGACTCCGTAGTCAGGGATGCAAGGACCATGGAATGTAAGGCCCAAAATGGGACCTTTGTCTTTATGTCCACTACCTAGGATGTTCTCTCTCTGTCCAGAGAGGGATTGCTTGTTTTTATTTTCTTGTATTCTGGTAAAATCCACACAACATTAAAGTTACCCTTTTAATCAGAATTTCATACAGTTCAGTGGCAGTACTCATTTGCAATGATGTATAACCCCCATCTGTCTACAGCTCTAGAACATTCCCATCACCCAAAAAGCAGACCCTGACCCCATGAGCAGTCGCTCCCCGCCCCGCCCCCAGCCCCTGGCATCCGCTGATCTGCTTCTGTCTCTGTGGATGTGCCTGTTGGGGAGGCTTCTTGGAAATGGAATCATACGTTATGTGGCCTTTTATGTCTGGCTTCTCTCACTCAACATTGATATTTTCAGGGTTTATCCACATGGTACCATGAATCAGGGCTTCATTCCTTTTCATGGCCCCGTAGTCCACCGTAAGGATGGACCCCACTGTGTTTATCCACTCATCCGCTGAGGGACAGTGGGTAGTGTGCCTTCTGGTAATTGTGAGCAGTGCTGCTCTGAATGCCTGCACATAGGTTTTTGTCTTAATACCTGATTTCAGCTGTGGGGTAGATCCTTATTCTGTGTTGAACTTATCGAAGACCCAAGGATTTCTTTTGCCTGGAGTGCTTGAACATGTCTGATTCAGTCCTCCCAGAGCTTCATCCCTTCTCTTCCCCCTTTGTGAAGCCCTCTTCCCAGGACTGGTTTCTTCAGCTGGCCCAGCTCTCAGTCAGGGTCACCTCCTTGGAGTGGGTCTCCCCTGACCACCTTATCCAAAATGGACACACCTCCCTCCTTCCCCTCTTCCTCCTTTACCTGCATTTTGTTTCTCCTGAAGACTTACTTGAATTCGAGCTTTCATTCTCTTTCTCTGTTTTTGTCTGACTCCCCAGCCTGTCCACGGGCCTCTTGAGGTCAGAGACTTTGTCTCGTTTTCCTGGAACACTGCAAGGTACAGAGGAGAAGGTGCACCTGGGTGTCCAGGAGGGCAGAGTGAGCCCCCGGAGTCAGTGGAGTCAGGCACTGTCTTTGGTGGCTCCAACCGCCTGCAGCCACAGAGACATACCCCGAGAGGAAGCTGAGGCCCTTCCCCTCTGTTCCAGCAGGCAGTTCCCTGAAGCACTCCACAACCCTCACCAACCGGCAGCGGGGAAATGAGGTCTCGGCCCTGCCAGCCACCCTGGACTGTGAGTGGGCCCCTGTCCCTAAGGGCGGGAGGGGTAGTGGGATGGCAGGGGCTGAGAGGGGCAACTTTGGACAAGGGATAAACGGAGGCACAGAGGTGAGGACTGTGTCTCTCTGGCCCCTAGCCTTGTCCATCCACCAGCTTGCAGCCCAGGGGGAGCTGAGCCAGCTGAAGGAGCATCTGAGGAAAGGTATGCCCCTGCCCATCTGACCCCTGCTGGCGTGTGCACTGGGTGCCAACAGGACCACTGGGTGCTTCCCCCACCACTCCCATTACTACTGCCTCTACCCCTCTCAGTTGCTGACTCCACATGTGTTGGAGCTTACTCACGGGTGTGAAGTCCACTGTGTGCTTCCCTTCCCCCGACACCCTACCCTAGCTGCCCACCCCGCCCCTGCTCCTGCAGCCTTGGGGAGAGAGGGCAGGGGTGCATCCCAGTGGTACCACCCCGTTCCTGCCAGGTGACAACCTCATCAACAAGCCAGATGAGCATGGCTTCACCCCCCTCATCTGGGCCTCTGCCTTCGGGGAGATTGAGACTGTCCGCTTCTTGCTTGAGTGGGTACGTCCTACCCCAGCTGGGGGCTGGCCAGGGACTCGAGGGCAGGCCAGGGTCTCGGCTGAGCCTGCTCGTGCTGTGTCCGTAAGATGGGGATGCCATGGGGGCCCCTTGGGGCCTCCCCTTCCCCTCCCATTACCTTTGCCTTTACTCCCGTAGGGTGCCGACCCCCACATCCTGGCAAAGGAGCGGGAGAGCGCCTTGTCACTGGCCAGCACAGGTGGCTACACAGACATTGTGGGGCTGCTGCTTGAGCGTGATGTGGACATCAACATCTATGACTGGGTGAGGCACCGCTCACTGGCCTGGGGCACCTCACAAGCCTGCCCTGGGTGCTGAAAACACAAGACGGAGCCATCCCTGAGCCCCCCAGAGCTCCTAGTGTTTGGGTAGGGGAAGCTGACATATAAACAGTCAGCTAAGATATAGTGAATAATGCTGTGATGGCAGGCACACAGACAGCTTCAAGAACCCAGAGGCAGGCTGGGTAGCGAGGGCAGTAAGGAAAGGCTTCCGGAAAGAAGAGGTAACTAAGCTGAGATACATAGGAGGAGCTAGGTGGGCAGGTGACAAGCAGGGGAGGAACCACACTAAACTGGAGAGACTGGTGTGAGGATCCAGAAGACAGAGTGTTGGTTGCCCCTGCCTCTTACAGAATGGAGGGACACCACTGCTGTATGCTGTGCGCGGGAACCACGTGAAGTGCGTCGAGGCCTTGCTAGGTGAGTGCAGGGTAGAGGCTGGCCCTTGGGGCCCCAGAGTTCCACCTGGCCCCCCAGGAATCCCGAGGGCCAGGGAGGAGTCCGAGTTCTGCTTGGGTGGCCACTCCTGCATTCTCCAGAGGATTGACTTGGGGTCAGGAGGTGGGAGGACAGGACAGGGGTCTGGCCATCCTGGTTGAATACTTTGTATGCCTTAGGGACCCCCAGATGGGGAGACTCTATTGACCACATTCTTCGGAGAGCTCAGGCTCTCGTCCAAAGCCACACAAGCAATTGGCAGACCTGTATCTCTGTCATGGAGGGATCACTGGACCTCCCAAGTCCCTGTGCCCCATTTTGAACCCCCAGCCCCCAAGTAAAGCCCCCCTACTGCAGCACCTGCTCTGCTTTGCAGCCCGAGGAGCCGATCTCACCACCGAGGCCGATTCTGGCTACACCCCAATGGACCTTGCTGTGGCCCTGGGATACCGGAAAGGTTTGCCTGAGACCTATGGGGCACTGACAGGGTGTGTAGGCAGGGTGACCACAGAGGGGTACATGGACAACCCTCTGGGATGTCAGATACTGACAGCTAGAGTATTCACTTTAGCAAACACCAAATGCCGCTGTATACCTGGCCCGGGCTTGTGCTAAGCCCACTTCTTGGGGCTCCCCATGCACTGGAGACAGGAGGCCAATATTTGTCCATGACTGGGGCCACACCAGGGGACGCACAGGTACCGAGAGGCTCAAAGGTGGCCCTAGCCTAGCCCAAGTATGGATGGTGGGGGTGGAGGGTGGGGAGGGACCCAGGCTGGAGGAATAGCACCTGCAGAGGCCTGGCAGGACTCAGACACCAAGGAGGAGGCCAGGCCACATGCACAGGGCCTCGGAGGCCAACCCTCACCCTGGTGAAGGTGTGTGTGAGCAGGGCCGATAGGCAGGCCCTGGTTTTCCGCATGTCTCCCTTCACAAAGTGGGGAGATCCTAACAGATCCAACAGCCTGGGGCCCTGGGGGGTTTGAGAGCTTGAGAAATCTCCCCTCCTTAGAGTTTTACTACATTTCGAACAGAAGTCATTTCCCACAGCTCCTCCCATCTTTCATAAAAATCACAATTTGCCAATTTTGTTGGGTAAGAAAGATTTTTATGATTCTGCAGACTCTAGAAATGCATTTTTACAAACAGGGGAAGTTGAGGTTCCTGAGATGGGGGCCTCGGCCTTCCCAGCTGTGCTTGGGAAGGATCTGGACGTCCCCACGTAGGAAGTGGGTCCTCCACCCAGGTGCCAGGGCTGGGACGCCTCTGTTCATCCCATGGGGAGGGGGCAGTTCTCAGGGTAGCACACCCCAGCTCGCACACCGTGGGCCCATGTCTCTGCAGCCTCCACTCGGTTCATGGCCCGACTTGTCCCTGTCCTGTTTTCAGTGCAACAGGTGATCGAGAACCACATCCTCAAGCTTTTCCAGAGCAACCTGGTGCCCACTGATCCTGAGTGAAGGCCACCTGCCAGGGACTCAGACACTCAGGGAACAAACTGGTTGACCCAGAGCTGGGGGAACCCAGAACTGGCTTCAAAGGCAGCTCCTGGACAGATGGTGGGAGGGGACCCTTCCTAAGAGGAACCAATAAACCTTCTGTGCAGAACTTGAACACGTTGCTATGCTTCCCCAAGGCTTCCTGGAGAAGGCAGCCTCCCGTAGCCTTACGCCTTCTCCCCCAGCACCCGCAGATGGTAGATGACCATGCGGCCAAAAAAGTCAGTGGCATCCTCAAATGTCACTCTCAGCCGGTCCACCTTGGCAGCTGGCACAGGGAAGGTGTAAGCACAGGCAGTCAAGGTAAATGGGGGCTCATCATTTCCCACCTGCCAGCCCCAGTTTAGACACCATCAGTGTGCTAGGCAACCCCGTGTAATAAGGGCCCCTCCAAAGCTCTTGCCCAGAACTGGTAATCATCAGCTTATTTTACAAATGAAGCCAGCAGAGGCCTGGAGGCCACTTATGCAAGGTCAAGTGCCAGGGCCAACAGCTTTCAGAGACAGACCTCCCTACCCCCGAGGCCAGCAGGATATCTGAAGTGAGTTGTTGTCCTCAGGGTAGAAGTCCACGATCTTAGTGAGCGCCTCCTTCCCCTGGGAACCTGCAGCCAGGGAGGAACAGACTGTGAGGCTGACATGCACTCCCCAAGGCCCCACCTTCCAAGGCCTTCCAGTACCTTCCAGGTGGCCCCGGCGACTGGAGAAGCCCCCCTGGAACTGGATCTGTAGCTGTGAAACACAGATGCGCTGGGGAAACTCGAGGATCACCCACTGCGAGGAGCCCTGGAAGCAGACGGGGACACAGACCACTGTCACTCAGGGCTCAGAGCCCTGCTGCGCAGCCGAGTTGGAGAGGGGGGACACTGCGCACGTTCCCTCCCCGTGCCCAGCCAGAGCGTCCTGAAGTTCTCAAAAAAGCCTGGGTCCCTGAATCTGAGTCATGAGGGGCGGAGGGCCCAGGAGAAGGTGCCTCACTTGGTCGGAGTTCCAGCACGTCTCCTCGTCCTGGTCGAACATGTGCTTCTTTCCAAACTGCCGGGTGTTGCGATTCAGCACCGAACTCACCCTGTAGGTACCAAAATCCCGGTGAGGGGCGGGGCTGAGGCTGTCCGCTCCTCACCACCGGCTTCCCCCCGCCCCCCAGCTCCGTCCTCGAGAGGCTCAACCCCAGGCCAAGGGCCACGCGCACCTACTCCCCCACACACACCCCGTTTCCCCGGCTCTCACCTGGTCACTGTTTCCCCACAAACCAAAGAGTGGGTCATCTCGCCTCTACAAGGCCTCGCAGAGCTGAGCTGGGCGCACCCTCGGTTCGAATCCCGGCGCCAACAGAGCCACAGCGGCGCGACCCCGTCCACGCTCTGAGTCTGCACGTCCTCACCTGCACTACAGGACCAGACCCATCCTTGCCGCGCCCGCTCCAGTCCTAAATGTCTCCTCGATCAGTCCCCTTGGTTGTAAATTGGGGACTTCGGGGAAACTGCCAACGGTCCGACGCCAGGCCTTTCACAGTGGGTCCAGGAAAGTGAAACAATAGGTAGGTATCGGGGGCGGTCGCTCCCTCTCCGAACCTCAAATTATCTGCGAAAGACTTGGGGATCCCAAAGCCGAACCCGGAACCGCGTGGCCAATGCGCATGCCCTCTCTACCTGGGCGGGGTTTTGGTTTGAGCCCCGCCCCTCCGTGTCCGCCTCTTAAAGGGCACGTATCCAGGGACTGCATTTCTTTTGGAGCCGGAGGAAGGCTGCCCTCTAAAGCAATTTGGGCCGAATGCGCGTGGGGCGTTGATTTGACATTTGGTGCCCGCTGGTATAAAGCATTGTTTTTGAAGTCTGAGAGTCTTAATATAATGATGTCTTACTACTTGGGAAAGTCTGCCAAATTCATTCCTTAACTGTTTATGCAGCCTGGGAACCCCTGCACCTCACTGCCTCTCAGAGGCCAAGGAGGAGTTCAGGAAGAGGCCTTCATGTTGCGAGTACAAGGAGTCCTGTCCTGCCTGGGACATGGGAGACCTGGCCTCCAAATCTGCCCTCCCAGTGAATGTTACCTGGGACAGACTTCTTGGAGGATGGTGTATGTGATGTGGGTTTTGAAGGATGAACAGGAGTTTGCCAAACCAGATTGCACAAAGCCTCAGATACCAGGCTAAAAGATTTGGTTCCCTGATTCACTAAACTCTTGCCACTGTTACTGCCCAGTCCTGTGTGGGTGGTTCTGGGGACTGGGGCCAGGCCTGAGCCAGAGGGAGAGACAGGACTGGCGGAGCAGTGGCTCTACCTGGAGGGATACTTCTTGGGAGGGAATATTTTGCCTGCACCTTAATGAGTGTAGGAATTCACCAGAGAGAAAAATCTGGGGCAGGTGGTATTCAAGCAGGGAGAACCGCATAAGTAAAGGCCTGGTTGGGTGAAAGAACATGAATTTGAATAAAATATGTGGAGCCAGATCCTGCTGGGCCTGGAGCAGTCTGGGGAAGGTGTTTGAGAAAATGCGGGACACTATGCCATCTTCAGGAATGGAAAGTTCTGAGACAGATCAACCACTGGCAGGAGGCTGCAGCTCCTGGCTTTAGCTGAATGGCCTGGGATCCAGCCCCCTTCTTCAAGGTCTGGGGAAATAGTCCTCCTGGCATCCCACTAGCATCTGCCTAAGCCCACTCCAGGAAGGGGGCTGGCTGGGAAACTGGGACACCAGCGGAAGCGCTGCCCCATCAGCCCCTGTCTGCCAGGACTTCCTGCAAAAATTCATGGCCTGCTGCCATCCAGACCTGGCTTGCTGGTTTCAGAGCCAGGGCTGGGGGTGGCAAAAAACACCTCCCCACCCCCAGAGGAAGTTAGGAGGAATATGGACACACACCCACACCCACACAGGGCCACATCTGTTTCAAATACTGATTGGGCCACTCACTGGTTTTGTGATACTGGGCAAGCATGTTGACCTCTCTTGGCCTCAGTTTCCTCATCTGTGAAGTAGAGGGGATTCTATTTATAGGTATGTGGAGAATTCACTGGGCTCTTCATATAGACTCATAACAACAGTGGCTGACATTTGTTGACAGCCCATCCTGTGTTTGACTTGAAGCCACGTTTTGTCTCCACCTATTGGCTCCTAAACCTTCTGTGTCATCTCCATGTTGCAGCTACTCTGAAGGTCCCCCAGAGAAGACAGGCATAGCCCCAGAATCCCTCATGCCACTCCTGGTCTTGGCATGGAGCCACCTTGCCCACTGGGACGAGGCCAGCTCCATACCCTTTCCCCGCCTCCTCACCCCACTGGCGCCTGGGTATGAAAGAGCCTCCTGTTTCTCCAGGGAATTAGCAGCTCTAAGCTCCCAGCAGAGCAGCCAAAAGTAGCCCATTCATTTGGTTGAGTGGGGAGAGACTAGTCTGGCACTCCCTCCCCACTGCACCCAGGAGATGGGGAAGAGGGAGCTTCTAGAGGAGTCAGGAGTTGCAGCTCTGGTTTGCTGAGGGAAACTGAGGCACACTGGGCTCAGGTCACCCAGGGGGACCAGAACCCAAACCCCAGTCTGATTCTGGAGTTTCCTGCACTGGGCTGAGTTTTGCTTTGTCAGGAGAGGAAGGCTCAGAGAGGGTCAAGAATTTGCTGGTCACACAGCAAGTATGGGTCAGTGGGGACTCTCTGGAGAAGCAGCCCTTCCCGTGGGAGAAAACAGGTCCCACTTCCCATGAGCTTGTCGTCCAGGAGTGGGGCAGACAAAGGCCCTCATATAGCTTTGAGCCCCCGTTTTCCCTTAGGGAATAAACGTGATGGTTACCCCAAAGCCCCAGCCTGGAGAGTCTGTGGGGAGCTGGCAGCCCCCTTTGGGGCAGCCTGGGTCTGATTTATCCTGCGGAGTCTGCCTGGATCTGGCAGGGCCTGGCTCAGACTAGACGGATGCTCACCTGGTGCCAACTGGACTTGTCGGTCCCGGCAGCAGGCGAGCCTGGGAGCCTGGGTAACTGGAGGTGGCGATGGGAGAGGGTGACCAGGCATAAAGGGACTGAGGTGAGCTCGGAACACTGGGCCATGAGGGGGCATGGTGAGTGGTAAGCATGAATAGTATGTTATCAGGATGGTCCAGAAGGACCGTACATCTCCTGGTTGGAGACGTAGTGCCAAGTGAGGGTGCCCATCCATGGCTGTAGATGTGGTTGTGTGTGAACAACGTGGGACAAATGTGGGCTGTTTGTGGCTGCAGGAAGGCTAAGGTGTGGGTGTGAGCAGCAGTGGGTGTGAGCGTGGAGGGACTCCAGGTGCAGCCGCCTCACAGCTGGGAGCAGGCTTGACTTGCGTGTGGCCAGGTGAGGTGTGTGTGGCCTGTGTGACTTACATGTGCCTTGCTGCATTGGTTATATATGAGCCGCCTGTGCTGTCAAAGTGTGTCTGGGATGTGACTGTGTGTCTGTGGTAGTTGTGATGTTGTGTGTGACGGCTGTGAGAGTGGTTGCATGTGCCCTGGCTGTGTGTCACCTTGGTTATGTTGAGAGGTGCTTTGTCTGCCCCTGAGACTGGGTTCTCCTGGAGGGTCCAGCCCCTCTACTCCTGCTCTAGCTCTCTAGCCCCCTCCTCTACCCCCTCCCCCAACTTGCTGCAGCCCCTGGCCCAGGCTCCAGTGTTGGGGGACAGAGCAGGCGCTGGGGGCTGGTGGGGGCAGCTGGCTCAATCCCAGTGCGGGCCTATAAATAGCTCTTTGAGCCCAGCAGATTCCCAGGCAAGGCTGCCTCATTCAAGCCCCCGGCAACACCCCACCCCCGGGCCCCAGGCCAGTATCTCTAAGTTCAGCCCTGGCACCAGCCAGGGGACCAGGGGCTGAGAGGATGGAGTGTGGAAAGATAGAGGGGGTCAGGGGTAAAGGTCAGCTTGGCTCTGAGGCCCCAAACCTGGGCTCCCACTTGGCCCCACCCACACTGTGCAACCTGAGGCAGGTGATCCCGTCCCCTTGAGCTTCAGTTTCCCCAGCCGGAAAATGGGCAATGGCATGTGAGCAGCCCCCATCTTCCCATTTCATTTGCCAGCAACCCTGTAAGGTGGAGACCCGTAATTATCCCCGTTTTAGAAGGTGAAACTGAGGTATGGGAAGACAAAATGGCTGGCCTTTGGTCACTCAATTAGGAGCCACAGAGAGGGGTTTTGAACTCTGGACTTGAGGAAGCCAAGCTGCTCAGCTTCCATGCACGTCCCACAACCGCACCTAGACCCCCATCCCCCACTGCTGTGATGCTGTCACCACCACCCCCATGCCTGCAGATACTCCCATCAGTATGATCCCTGACCATCCCTCCTCTGTGACAAGGAACTGGACAGTAAGCACAGCTCCTCAAGGGGTCACTTCAGCCCCAGGGGCCACCACTCATCTCCCCCTGGACCAGGCTGGGTCCCCACGCATGAGACAATGACACATACAGTGATCCTGCTTCTCTGGGGTGTTGCCTCATCCTTCACTCATTTCTACCCACTCTGGTAATCTTGCCAATACCACCTTGTCCCCTGTTTGTATGTCCCCCCCACCAAACTAATACCCACCCTCAGAGACACACACACACACAGATGCAGACACAGTGCAGAGGGCACAGACCTTTGGCTCAGTACAGCCCCTTCTCAGCGCCGAGAAACCACGACCAAGCTTGTGGGAAGGAAGTTGGGGGAAGGAGCTGACCTCTTTAAGCTTTTGTCCTCCTCATTTCCATTTCTCATTGTGGTAATATACACAGAACACAAAACACTTTAAAGTACCCAATGCAGTGGCATTAATTATATTCACATTATTGTGCAACTCCACCACTATCTAGTTCTAGAACATTCCCATCATTCCGAAGGGAACCTTGTCCCCATGAGTCATCATCCCCCATTCCCCCTTCCGAACCCTTAATAATCATTAATCTGCTTTCTGCCTCCAGATCTGTCTATTCTGAACATTTCATATAAATGGAATCATACTGTGGCCTTTTGTGTCTAGCTTCTTTCACTGGGCATGATGTCTTCAAAATTCAACCATGTGGTACAGTGTATCCATACTCCATTCCTTTTCATGGCTGAATAATATTCCATTGTACATATCTAGGTTTTTCGAGGTCGGAATGGATCCTCCCTGCAAAGGCACACACCAGCCCCCTGCCCAAAGCAAAAGTATTCTTAGAACAATACCTGATCCACAGCAGGTGCTCCATAAATGCTGATTGGATGCAGGCATGAATGAATGAATGGAGCCGGTGGAAAGATCTCTGGGGTGTGAACCGCCTGGACTCCCACCCTGTGAGCCCCTTGTCAGCTGTGTGACCCAGAGATCTTCCTAGGTTCTCCGAGCCTCTGCTTTCCCTCTGTATACGTGGGATGAAACAGTAATTGTAACCAAAACTTCTTCCCAGAGAATCCGACAGGCCGGGGTTGTCATCCCAGCTCTGCCCTTCTCCGAGAGACCTTTGGAGCCACTTCACCGCTCTAGGGCTCAGTTTCTGCATCTGTAAGATGGGGCAGACCCCACCACGGAGCACCTGAAGATTCTTAACGTGGCTTTTGGGGGATTGAAGGAGGGAAAATCAGGGGCAGTCCTCCCCTGCTGGTGTGAGTGCTCCAAGGAATGAATAGGGGGTTTTAGGCAGGAGGCGCCCCCCACCCCCAGCTTCTCAGGCGGCCGAGGGCTTTGAGGGACGCATGCGCAGAGCAGCCCCGCGGCCCCTTTATAAGCGCCGAGGCGGCGCTGGGGTGAGCGGAGCGCAGGGCGCAGGGGCTGGACCCGGCGCCGAGAGCGGGCCGAGCTGAGTCCTTTGTGCCTGGGGACCGCCCGGGATGCGTCCGAGC